CTACTGTAGCCGCGAACTACAATTTTCAAGTAGCCAGTAGTTTTTGACTACTTTTTTTAAAACAGTAGTTGTAGTTATAGCGAACTACATTTTGCCTAAAAGTAGCCAAGTAGTTGACTACTTTTCAAACAGCGAATCGCTATTCGCTACTTTTTAAAATTGTTAGCAACTTGATAGAATAGCGTGATATTGAGACACGGTTTGCTTAAACTCTGAATACTCTTGCACTCCTGAACACTGTAGTGCATACAAAAATGTTGCTTTGTGTTTACTGTTGCTACTCGTAAATCGATTTGTTATAGATTACATTACAGCCTGAGTTAGTAGATGTTCCAAATATAGTAAAACTAAAAAATATAGTGTAGCGAAATAGCGAAATAGTTCGCTACATTTTTTAAGCAGTAGCTGTAGTCAGTAGCGAACTACCTTTGTTCAAAAGTAGTATTAGTTGTAGCTGACTACATATTTTTGAAGTAGCTGTAGTTATAGCGAACTACAAAAATTTTGTAGTCAACCCACCCTTGAAATTCGGCCTTGATTTGCATCTCTTTGCCTAGTTCTAAAATTAGTCTATAAAGGGAATTGTCTATTTACATGAACATAAGAGACTTGGCTTCCATTTATGAATATTTAAGGTCTATAAACATTATTTGTTGTTAAGTTGTTTTGTGGTCATTTTTAAAACTACTGTTTTTTTTCAAACTGGTAAATATTTTCAAAGCCTCCCTTCTTTCGTCTCTCTGTATTTTTTCAAAGCCCCCACTTTCAGGTTTTAAAAAATTTAAAGGCCCCCCCCCCAGTTTCTCCTCAATCCCCCCACCCCCTGTACAATAAATAATGAGCGGTCCCTAATAAACACTTAAAAACAACAAGAAGTCAATAACTTTCATCATTTGAATAGTTTAAAAATGTATTTGGAATAGGTTTAACTTAATGTTTAAGTTCCCTGTTTAAGAAATGGAAAACATACGAATCTTCTCATTTCATGGGAACAACCTGAGACTGCAATCACAGCTTCAATTTTTGAATTGCAGAATACAGACCTGCCAACCTCCAGCAGCAACAAATCTGGAGATCTGATAGAAAATTTCTTGAGATTGATGTCTTATTTCTGGAGATAAAATACCGAAAATCTGAGTACTTAGACTGCTAATTAGTAATGAGTAAATAAATACTAATAGACAAATAGTGTTGGGGATTTTTCACAAATTAGAATTACCGTCAATGGCTAGTTTTATTTCACATTAATCACTCCCATTTTAAAGTCTAGTGGTGGTTAAAATTTCAAAATTGTGAATCCGTGAGATTTGAAAATATTTCCGTAAGATAATGTGTGAATTCGTGAGTCACACGGGAAATCCGTGAGAGTTGGCAGGTCTGAGAATAATTAGATGCACTATCTAGTGTATATAAGATATCTATGACTCTACCAAAGTTTAGATTCGAGAGAAGATCGAGCTTTAACCCATTGAGTGGCGGCACTCTCCACTTGACGAGTAAAATCGTCTGGCGTTAGACAGAGTAAAATCGTCTGGCATTAGACAGAGTAAAATACTCTGGCGTTAAACAGAGTAAAATACTAAAGTAGGGCGCATCAGGGCACATTGCCACTTAAAGGGTCTAACTATAAAAAATATTACCGAAAAGTGAAAACCCTTTAAAAACTTACCATTTATAATAAGACAAGGTGTTCTTTCATTCAAATGTTGTCTCTTTATCCATGGTCAAATTTCACAACAAATATACCATCACAATATATTTAATATTAAAAGCCAATATATAAAAGTTAATATATATCCCTGTACATTGAGTTATCATTTCCAAAACTAGCCAGTCGTTATAACGTAAAATAAGCGGGTATTTCGTTAACAAAAATGCCTTTTGAATCACACCATAGAAATAGTAGACCGGCTCACCCATCTTGTTTTAGGCCGGCGAACGGCGAATTTCGCCAGCGCTAAGAAGAAATTTGACAGCCATTCGCCAGAGGCTGTGTGTAATTCGCCGGTACTTGCAGTCATGACAAGCTGAAATTTTTAGCCCAGTCTTGCACTCGCACAATATACCAAATAGACAAAGCTTGCAAGGCTTTGCATGCCCACCACTCAACTCACAGCACCCTTGAAGCTTCGACCTTCCATTCTTTGCATACTCGCTTCGCTCATCAATTAATAGCCGGAGCCTCAGTAGAGCAAAACAGTATTGGCCATACCCAAATTATTATTAGCCAGGACTTCAAACGGATACCTGAAGGGCTGCCGGCTATTTATATTTCTATGAAACCACACAAAGTAAACGAGCGCCATCTTGTTTTCCCGCCAAAAACTCTTGATGAAGGGGAAGTCCCTCCCGTGTGAAACTGACGTCACAGGTGTCATTCTTCTCTGGTCAAAATTTCAAAAATACGCAGCGAGTCCAATTTTAATCTCTTTATCTTCGCTATTTTCGCCTTCCACATATTGCTCGACCCAACCACGATTGTAACACAACAATTTTTGCCCGCTAAATATTTTAAAATCAACAAAAATATAGAATATGCTCTTCGGGCCAACATAGGGAAAATCCGAAGTTGTCTCAGCCACAGTGATCTGTATGCAGCACTTTATTGCAATATCATTTTTTGTGTTTTCTTTTCTAATAAAATAATATAATAATAATAAGTTTATTAATTTAAGACTATGTTTAATGCATGGTACAGTATCTACGCTTTAAGTTCTCTCATTTCTCTACCAGTCAGTTAAAAACTACATCATAACTTACAAGTTTGAGTGACGACAATGTACGACGAACTCCGCGCGTGTCCTCAGCGTCAGGAAGCTTGTCCACAGCGTCAGGAACCTTGTCCTCAGCGCCAGGAACCTTGTCCTCAGGCGTCAGGAACCTTGTCCTCAGCGTCAGGAACCTTGTCCTCAGCGTGAGAAACCTTGTCCTCAGCGTGGAAAACTTTGTCCTCAGCGTGAAAAAACTTGTCCTCAGCGTGAGAAACCTTGTCCTCAGCGTGAGAAACCTTGTCCTCAGCGTGAAAAAACTTGTCCTCAGCGTGAGAAACCTTGTCCTCAGCGTGAGAAACCTTGTCCTCAACGTGAGAAACCTTGTCCTCAGCGTCAGGAACCTTGTCCTCAGCGTCAGGAACCTTGTCCTCAGCGTCAGGAACCTTGTCCTCACCGCCAGGAACCTTGTCCTCACCGCCAGGAACCTTGTCCTCGGCGTCAGGAACCTTGTCCTCAGCGTCAGGAACCTTGTCCTCAGCGTCAGGAACCTTGTCCTCAGCGTCAGGAACCTTGTCCCCAGCGTCAGGAACCTCGAGAAAGGCCTTCGAAGTTTTTACTCTTGTGCAAACGCGTTCAATTTCTGTCTCGAGATATTTCGGGATGTCTGCCCAGACTAGGTAGGTAGGTAGGTAAAACTTTATTCAACTACGCTAACCCCTACAGCGAAAGCTGATTTCCAAGGGGGGGCGTAGATTTAAGTAGTTAAAAAATACAATTAATACAAATTATGGTTATGCATTACATTACAGTTAACAACAATTACGATACATTTACAAATACAACTAGTATATAATTATTTATATATTAAATTAATATTAGTACTATGTAATATTCTTAATTAACGTAATAAACTAATTAATTGGCCAGGCCAGTGTCGTATACATGAATTAAACAAAGCAAGAGAATGTTTGTTTCTTGCTTCACCAGAAAGGCTGTTCCACAATTTTGCTCCTCTATAACTAAGACTTTTTTTAAGATTATGATATATCATAATCTTAAAAAAAGTCTTAGTTATAGAGGCAAAAAGAGTTTGGTGGAAGAGCCTCGCATATTATAGTAATAAAAGGAAGACGTCCTTTTAAAAATGTTGGTTAGTCCTTTTGGCGCCAGTTCGTGAGTTATTTTATACATAAGACTTGCTACGAAATGTGTTCTGCGTTCACTTAAAGGTTTCCATTTCAGTTCGTCTAGGGCAAGTTCAGACTGACGGTGTTGGCTTTTACGGCCAGTAATAACTCTAGCTGCCCTATTTTGTAGTTTCTCGAGTCGATCAGAAAGTGTGGCGCCAATGGTGTCCCAAACTTCGCAACAATAATCTAGGTGTGGAAGTATAAGTGCATTTAATATAAGCACATATTAATGTATTATGACGAAGCGTATTCAAGTATTTGCCTAATTGCCTAAAATCTTTGGCGTGTATGTCTGCCCAATCCCGGGTGGTAGGGAGAATTTCCTACATTCTCGAAGAAGGAATAATAATTTATTCGGGTTTTTTTTTGCTTCGACAAAAGAAAAAATGTTGAGGAATATCCTGTATGGCTGTAAAACGTTTTCGAAAATCACGAAGCTGCGAGGAAGAAAAAGAAATGCTGGTAAATGTAGTTGACATTGACTGATACATTATTTTTACAACGGAAAACCATTTGGTATGCGCTCTCAAGAGCATCGTCAATTTATACGACTTTATAATAAAATTAAAAATACCACCACTAGTAGCGAAGCCAGCTTGGATAACTTGTCATGCAAAGGAGCGCCGAAGGCGCAAGGTATGCTAAGGGTCCGGGAGCACGCCTCCTTCGATACATTTTGAAATATAGACTCCCAGAAACGCTATTTTCAGCAATTTGATTATCAAATTTCTGGAAATAGCTTGACCTGATGAAGGGAAAAAATGGAATATTTTAGCATATTTCAGACAACAACGACACAAAAATAGGAAAACCCCATTCACAATATCTAAATTTCGACTGTTTCGCTCAATGTCAGAGCTCATCAGCATGCCTAGGACAGCTTCAATCAAGCAGCCAGGCATGGACAGTCAAAGCCTGCCAACGCCTATTTAGTTATTTGGGTTTTTTTATATTTGTATGTTTTCCATACTTGTGTAAAGCCTCTGCTCTACCCCACCATACAATGGGGTCACCACAATTAAGTGGGTATCTCCCCAACTATTAAGTAAAATGGACATACAAAGGAGTCACCACAATGAAGTGGATATTGTAGCAAGTCTGCCAACAAGTTGTAACAAACTGTTAACAACTTGTAACAACCTTGTTGATATTATCAGACTTGTTGCAAGGTTGTTCCAACAAGTCCGATACAGTCATGATATTAACAATACTGTTACAACCTTGTGCCATCAACCTTCTAACATTCTTGTTATATCATGACTGTATCGGACTTGTTAGAAAAACTTTGCTACAAGTCTGATAATGCCATCATGCAACCTTGTTACAAGTTGTTAACAGCTTGTTCCAAACTTGTTACAACCACTAGGAACAAGCAGTGCGAACACAACTTGTCGACAGCTTGTGAACAGATTTGTAACAACTTGTTTGCAGACCTATAACCAGGGACGGCGGAACGACGTGAAGGCAAGAGGGCAGATTTTCGTGAAAGGGCACTTTTGAATTGATATATACTAAGAGATGTTTGCAAAACATCGGGAGTTGAACTTAGCCTAATCATGTTTTCTATTTATTGGATAGGGGTGTGAGGGGGTTCTCCGCCAGGCGATTGTGCTATTCTTGAAGATCGATGACTGCATTTCTTGCGTTTTCTGAAGCACATTCGTAAAAGAATTGCACTAACATTTCTGACAATTCGCTGTTTCGCTAAGGCAGTCCTTTAAATTGAAAGGGCACCTTTGCCCCCCATTGCCACTCCTGGTAAAGGGCAACGGGGGCGACTGCCTCTCCTGCCCCCCCCCCCCAGTTCCGGCGTCCCTGCCTGTAACAACTTCTGTGTTTTTACATGTGTAAGAGCTAATCAACCACAGAGGCAAATCCCCCATCCTCCCTCTTCGGAAAAACGCTATCTAACAACAAGAAAAATAATTTGCAAAAAGTGCCTCAAATTTACTATAATTAAAGCTACTACATTCATCAACAACCACTAAATAAATAAATACAAGTATAAAGTTTTCCATCCTAATGAGAAAGAGGACCCGCCACTAGGAGGTTTGAGTACACAAGTTCTTATTTGGGGAGCTAGAGCTTCCTTCCATACGAATTGTATCTTTAGAGGACAAGTTGACGACCAGCCGTTCCGACCTTCTGGTAACGGTAATGGCTTCAACTGGCAACAAAGGATGGTTTAAAGAAAATGTTTACGCATAACTTAGCTAAACGGGACAAGAAAGTATGCAAAAACATTTTGATCGTAACATGGCGTTGGAATCAGCTTTTACATGTTGCTTGGTGAAACTTTGTTATTCGTATTACTTTACCCTCAGTCAGAAATCCCAGCTTAGGTAGAGAAATGCGTGGAATTTTACCTCTGAACAAAACGATCTAATATAAATTTGCGTACAACGTTAAATGTCAAACATACACACATTTCCTTGTTGAGGGTAGAAGTTCTGCAACAGCTCCGCATCTTTTATCATTCATGCTGGGAAGATACTTCCATGTAGAACCTCCCATTGTAAAACACTCCACTGAACGGCTGAGCCAGACATCATTATTCCAACCTCCCATGATTACAATTGTATTTCCAGTAATAACTGCACAACAATTATATCTCGTCTCCAACATGGATGGTAAGGCTGTGATCTTGCCCGTCTTGCAGTCATACATGAAAACATCATTCAGAACTTCACCATCCTTATCACGACCTCCAAGTACAACTACTTGATCTCTCCAGCGAACTGTTGCCATTCTCTGTATGGGATGTGGTAAAGATGGCAGCTCCTTACATTCATTCTTCTTTGGATCAAACTCCAACACATTGTCTAAAACATCACCATTATTATCTTTTCCTCCCAAGATCAAGACTTTATCTTCAAACGCTTCAGCGCCATGACAAACTCGTGGCTGGGGCATTTGGCACAACCGTTTCAGTCTGCAACGTGAGGTAAGTTGCAATTCACTAATCACGCTGGTCTTTATATCGTCGACACAATTATGTCCACCAATGTGAATGACACGCTGTTGGTAGACAACAATTTGACAATCATAACTTTCATCAAGAAGTCGGCCAGAAAATTCCATCCATTTCAAAGGTAATTCATTAAGATTCAAGGTTTCTATTGTCTTAGTTAGTCCCCCAACAACAAATAGTTGATCATTATAAATAAATGATGAAGCTCCTCCATGTCGTTCATTCATTTGCGAAATCTCATACCAACCATTTTTCGCCCAAGAGAATATTTCTGCACTATGTTTCGCATCCCTTAACCAGCCAGCTGCAATCAAAATATCTTCCCTAGGTGTGTTGAACATTCCCTGGGTCGGAGATGGATGTTTGCTAAGCAGTTCAAGCATATTAAACTTCTCTAACATTTGACTCATCATGACTTTGACTTCGTCCACGTCTTTGTTCACTTTGGAAAGATTTTCTTTCACATCTTTTATTTCTTTCTTAACTTCGTGTTGCTCTTGTTTCATTTCATCATGGCGGTTCTTTATTGTTTCTACCTTTTCGTTGATCCTCTTATTCATTCCGACTAAACTGCCTTCCAATTTTCCGACAATGAATGAATGAATGAATGAATATATAATTGATCATCCCTAAAAAGGGCTTTTCAGAATCAATATACTAAAATAGTTACAAGAGTGTAATAGAATCTAAGATAGTAAAGTTAGAACTGCTATACTAAAACTATATTTACATTGTCTATTTAATACTTTAACATATACCGGGTGGCCCAAAAAAAAGTACTCCTGTTTGATTTATAATAACTTCTAAACAAGTAAAGCTATCAAACAGAAATAACTTGCATTAAATAGAGGAAGGACTAACTTAGATTTTGATATGTTACAGTTGTATTTTACTTAAAAATTCACGGAGATATTAATGTTCAAAATCGGGCGCATATTTTGGGATGTGTCTAAAATTAGCGAAAATCGGCGTATCAAATTTTCACTCCAGCGTTTGTTTGCTTAATGACATATCAGGGTAAATTGTATTTCAGCGAATTGTCGTTAGGGTTTGTAAGGGATATGGCGTAGATTTAGACATCTTACATGTAAGTCTTAATTTATTGTTTCCTGAAATATGAACGTTCGAAATTATGTAAGTATTTAATAGGTCTTTGCAAACTTAAGGTACTGAAAGACCATGCAAGGCAGGCGCTTCAATTTTTCTTAAATAACCTATTTTTTTATGTTTTTCATGGGTTCAAAACAAAGTTGATTATTTCTCGGTTAGAGCAGGATTAATAGATATAATAATACTTTGTTTCATAATAAACAATTTGTCAAGTGTCATATATTTACTGGTAATAGTGCATGTTTCAGTCGGGCAAATCTTGATTAATATTTGATACGCCGATTTTTGCATATTTCAGACACATCCAGAAATATCCTCCCGAATTTAAAGATTAATATCTCCGTGAATTTTTAAGTGAAATACAACTGTAATATATCAAAGTCTAAGTTAGTCCTTCCTCTATTTGATGCAAGTTATTTCTCTCTAAAAGCTATACTTGTTTAGATGTTATTACGAATCAAACAGGAGTACTTTTTTTTGGGCCACCCGGTATGAAATTATTTGTCGATTAAAATTGTCTTAAAAATTCTTTCTTCTATCTAATTAGTCCCCTAAATACATATAGTTATTGCTCCATCCGAAACTGTCTCAATAACTCTTTCTTCAAGTTAAATTTAAAAACACTAATTGATCCGCATAGTTTAATATCAGGAGGTAACTCATTCCATAGTTTTGCTATACGATACTTAAAGGATTTCTGTCCCTTTACACTTGTAAAAAGTGGTAAATTTAGCTGGTCAGATTGTCTAGTTGTCCTTCTGCTGACAGCTTCTCTTGTAGTAAATAGAGAGCTCAGGTAGTTGGGTGCCAATCCGTTCATACATTTAAATGCGAGCACTGCGTCCCGGTAAAATAAGTGCTTTTTCACCGGGATCCATTGTAATTC